GAAGACTTGGTGTTGACGACATTCCCATCTTCTATTCTTCTTCGTCTAACCCCCCTCTTCTTTGTCTGTGTATGGTTGGGGACTGGCGCATTCTTCCTGTGTGAGCGCCAGGCCCCTTCACACCATGGAATGATGACGATGTATGTTTGAGGCTGCATTGCAACATTGATTGTTCGGATCATTGGTATCTAAGTCTTCCGCTACGCTATCTTGTACTTTGTGAGAGAGGTCGGTTCTTGTTCTGGTCTGCACCATTATGGTATGCCACAACGGCAGGGCCTGATGCCCCAAAAGCACATTGATCAGTAACTACATCAGCTTGACAACCACACTGTCTCCTGTGAACGGTCTGTACCACAGGGCTGGTCAACACATATGAATCCAAAAATTTTGAATATCGTAGTCAAAGAAACTGGCTTCTTCCAAAAGAAAACTCGAAGGAATTGACGGGGGGGAGCACAAGTGGTGGATCATGTGGTTTAATTCAATGCAACGAGAAGAACCTTACCAGATTTCAACATACTGTGAGTCCCTCTGAAAAGAGGGAGTGCCTTCGGGATGCCCACCACTTCAGCCCAAAAGCACTGAGCCTGTTGCCTTATCTAGCAGTTCACTCCTCCACACTGGTTATATGTCCCCTTCCTTCCATTCCTACCTCTGTCCCTTGATTTTATTTTATTTTTACCAAGGAAATGCTTCGTTCTACTGCTGCCGCACCTCCCTTCTTTGCACTCATTATGTGAAAATCCAAACAAGATGATAAACAGGCGAACCAAAGGTACACCCGAGGGGACAACAAGGAGTAAACTAGAGGATGTGCAAATGTCAGCAAATCAACTTACAACTGTCCAACCCCGGCATTCATCTGATCGCACCGGAGCTTTTGCTGGCATATAAAAGCAGCCCTTGATTGAAGTATTGCATTAGCAATTGGCTATAGATGAACATGTATGACCACAGTCCAAGAGCTTCATAACTACCTTCAGGTTGATTGAGTTCAATAACGTCTTTGGAAATCTTCTCAGATCACGAGTCAGATGGTGTTAAAACTTAAAAGAGAAGAAGAAGAAGAAGAAGAAGAAGAAGAAGAAGAAGAAGAAGAAGAAGAAGAAAAGGTTACCTTGGGATCATTTTCACGAATTAGTGCTGAATCTGAGCAGAACTGACTGACAGCAGCTGCTGACATATTTTGTCTCTCCCAGAACAGACTTGTGCTGCTCAAGCACTCTGCGCATCCGTTACAGGAGTCTCGGCAGAAGGACTTCTGCACACATGGCCAGCCCTGTAGATCAAACGCAGAGCTGCAATTGTTTGCGGCATAGCAAGGACTAGTCGCTGGACAGTAATCACACAAGAATGAGACGGTCAACAAGGTCAGGTGGTGTTCCACCAAAAAAAGCGATGAGAGAAAGGAGGGCATAAAATGGAAGGAAAAAGGAGGATTGAATTGGTCCTTTTCGCTGGCTCTGCAAGTCATGCGAAGTCCTGAGTGAGCTAAGGAACTTTGGACAAGGAAAGAGAGGCCAGAGACAAGATAATTGTGTGGTCTCGAAACGAAGAGGGCATGTTTCAAGCAGAAGGCAAAACGATTCAGAGTGTTCTTGTTATTTAGGAAGAGAATGAAGGAAGCTGCATAGGATCCTGACTGAGGGATACAGCTCCATGCTCTACTAATGCGGAAAACTGCAAATTGCATGCCAGGCTGCATGCCACTGTGCTCTCAAATTCAAAACCAGGTCCACACCTGATAGGCACAAATGCTTCAGAAGCATGATCATCGCCATACAAACATGGTCAAATTGCAGAAAAGCATTTGGCCATGATCCCACGACAGTCGTCCATTGGGATCACAATTAGACAAAAAGAAGTAAAAGACCAGTGTGACAAGTCCATCCAATTACCATCAATAACAATCGAGTATTAATATACACTGCAACTGTTGTAATGAACCCAGTCTCGTCATCCAATCATGTCGCAGATAACAATGTCGTGCAATGCCATTAGCTAATCAATCCAATAATTCCAGCAGTTCGAAGTCATTGAAGTACAGGTTTTGTAATGAACCCAGACTGGAAGATACTCGTCAGACGTCGAAATGCAAGACAACTCAGATCTGGACAATGTCTCCAATAATCATGAATGTAACCTCTGATACAATGTCTCGTTACCAGTAGACGAAGAGAGTGGAGGGGGAATAGACAAATAGGCGGGKGGAAGAGATAGTAATCATCAATGACCACCAAAAGAGTAGCCCAACATTTCCCACTCCTTCTCCGGGCTTCCCCTCGCCTCCACGTCAGCAAACAGTACCCAGTAACGAGTCTGACAAGTTCTGATCACATCGGAGTGCCACGTGGCACTATTCTCTAGTGAAGACAATGGAGACAATCAGCAGCACACAGTATCGAAGTCAACCTCAGGTAAGTATCCCGACCCCGATCAATCATCCACAGATCCCGCTCTCCCTCCTTGTCGCGACCAATCACCCAGTGTAGACAGCGTGACCAATGCCACATCAGCGATGAAGACGGGTGGCATGCACCACATCAGCAATGGAGACAGATGGCATGCGCCACATCAGCAGAGGCTGGCGCTCAACAGAGATAGCGCCAGCATGTCGCCTCAGTCCCGCGTCGTCGTCCACAGTGCCAGTGCACGGCCAGCGTCAAGCCAGCGTCAAGGCAGCATAGCAAGACTGAATGTTGACTACCTGGAGTCCAAGCCTTATGTAGTGTTTGACGAGGCAGACTGGCCTCAGGTCTCCCACCCATGGTGGCTCCCATTGACTCACAGCCGAGGGCCTGGATTGTATACAGTTGCAGACTTCCACTTGGTCCTGATACTGTCTTGGTACCTGCATACAAACAAGTGAGTGTGTCTGACCGGCGGCCTGGGCTGGGTCCGTCTTGACTTTGACTGTCGGACCTTAGGCAGTTGACCGAAGTCAACTGTCGGGCGCTCAGGCCCCGGGGCTATTTCGAAGGGCCTGCTGCCTCTTTGACCTCTCAGCCAGAAGCTGGGGTCGCGGCCTGTGGGCCCTTTAGCCATTCAACGAGGCATAATGAACGGGTTATTGCAGGTTTCCTCATTACCACGTGTATGTCTCAAGTCCATAGCACCCAGAAAAGAGAGGAGGGAAGAATAGACAATTGGAAGGAGAAATATAAGGTCCTCTTCTCCTTCAGGCTCCCCACCTCTGCCACGTCAGCAACATGCACTAAATAAGCCACGCCAGCAATACACACTCAATGTGCCATGTCAGCAATATGCACTTCAATGTGCCACGTCAGCACTCCGTGTAACACGTGGACGATGTGGAGGCAGCTTCTCGCAGGTAAACGATCCTCCAACAGCGAGCAGAATCGGCAGCGGCTTCACATCTGAAGAAACCAGGTACGTACGCACGACGACTCACATCACCCACACTCTCTCTCTCTCCTCTCCTCATTCCCTCGCCGTCATCTATGGTTGTGGTCTTGGCCGCCCTCTCCCTATCTCAGTACTATGATATCTGGCTGGTGTCCATCCAGCAGTCTGGCGCAAGCATCTCCTCTCCAATCTCACGTGCAGCTTCGTAGCCACAAGCAACTCGCAAGACTGAATGCTCGAGCAGTGGCGAGGTCAACCTTTTGTAGCGTTGACTCGTGCTGTTCAGGGTCAGCATCGGTCCATGTGAGGGCCCGGATCATCAGATCAGTCCCAGTTTCGGGCTGGACTCATCTAAACCTGAATCTTCTGGAACCTGCAGGACAACTGTTAGATCATTCCAGATCAACGACCAGGAAATCTTTGTTGTTGACGTTGACTTCTCGGATCTGGGCCTGGGTCCACGAGTTGACTGTTGACTTTTTTGGTCAACTGTCGGCCTGGTCCCTTTTCAAGGCCTCTTTGAGCCCTCTTTTCAATCCCTGCCCGTTTGTACCTCTCTATGGGCGTGTCGGGAGCCCATCGGCTTAATTTGACACACGAGTTACAGCACTGTGTGTTTTCATCATGTCCGTAACCATGAAATACTGAGCATTTTGATCCAGTTGCTAAGGAAACATGACAAAGAAGGTGAATTCATACTAAATTTCAATAGAATAGAAAGACCATTGCTTAACTGCTCACACCAAATTGTGTTTGAATTCTCAGCTCACCAGTTATGCAGATGCCACTTTGTGAGCTACCTCGCCAGATGCAACTATCACCACCATCGGTAATGTCACTATAGCATTGTGTAAAGTTCCTGCTATTGCACAGATCTTTGTAAGATTCAGCACCGAAAAAACAGCCAGAAATGAAGGAAACAAATAATATCAATAGGATTCAAGATGTATACTTCATTCATCATAGAATGATTGAGGAATTGACGGAAGCAGTAGGACGTGACACAAGAACAGGACAGAAACGTTATGGGAAAGGTGTTATGAACCATACGAGCTGGAAGGAACAAGGAGGTAGTCATTATGGTCACACGAGCCAATAGCGTATAGGCTAACTTCGGCAGGGGTGAGGGGAGGTACATCCTTCCAAGTTCGGAAGTAATCAATGCCGTGCGCGCCACCCCCCCCCCCCCCCCCCCCCC